GTGTGTGTGTGTGTGAGCCAACCAGAGGTAGACTTTAATTATCAGTCAGTGTAGATGTTGGCTCCACTCTGAGCTGAGCTCCATTAAAGCCAAGTCCACACTTCCTGGCCAGCAGTCAACGCTTTCCTCTCACTCCAGGTCAGGTGCCACCGAGCCACACACTCACTCACACACACTCACACACACACACCCAGACTAACACATTCTTAGTCACGCTTTGGCTCCTTGTACATTCTGTGTGAATGCGTTGCCAAGTGGAGGTTGATCCAGAGCAGAGGGAGAACCATCACACTTTTATAGAAGAGACTGAGACTGAGGCCAAAACAGGCTACACTAAGTTAGCTTTAGCTTTTAATAAATTAAAACAACATTGTTTAAATGTGTTATGAATTACTGAAGAGGGACAGAGTAGAAGAAGTAGCTGGGATTATCTGTGACTAAGATCGTTGTCCGGTGGCTGAAACTGGTCTTTATTAAGTTGTTAACATGGATAAACACTTGAATGTTTTCTGAACCTAAAACGATTTATCATTTGTATGAATTTGTTTTTCTGTTGACCACACACTGACTTCTGTGAAGAACTGACTCTCTCCTACAGTCAGTGGACGAGCTGCCACCCTGGCCTGAGTGAAAATGCTGATTTTCCTGCTGCTGTGACCCGTAAAGAACGGAGCAGCCGAAAGTAATTCTTCTTCTCCACAAAAAAAAAACTCCCCCTGAAGACGTGTTGTGAAGTCGGCCAAGTAGAAAATGTGCAGGAGCACACGCTCCCCCAGGCCCAACATTATCCCAGTGGTTGGTAAACTGGTCACCAGTTAGTTACTGGATCTGTTTGGACCTCATCATTAGGAGACGTCTGTCTCCCCCCTTCCCTCCCCCTCAGCGACCTGCTTCTCTGGTCATCTCTGTGAAGCAGGCTCAGAGCTCTGTATTGATTGGCTGACCCCCCCGTGACCCCCCCCCCACCCTCTTCCACACACCGTGGCTGATCTAAAGGAGCTGAGTCAGTCCGCGCCCCAGGCGCCACCTCCACTCGGCCTCGTTGTGGAATTGGAGCGGTCCGCGGGGTTCCTGCTCCCCAGGTTCTCCGATTCTCACACCTGCACGTCTGCCCTTGCAAAGTCTCCCTGATGTGTCGGGGGAATTGAACCTCACTAATAGTTGCAGTGCTCAGTGGTGTCCTGCACCACTGAGCTACAGCTCGTCATTCCACTTCATGTCCATGTTGGTTTTTCTCAGTTCTGTTTTTTCCAGTTCGTACAGAGTTGAAAAAAAAAAACAACAAATACAAAGAAGAAAGAACTTCATTAGTCAGACACACATGAAGTTTCACCTTGTTTTTAACTAGTCCTGGAAATCAGAGCATAAACATGATGTTCCCAAGTGCATTCCAGTCTGGCAGTTCCCAAAGTGGGGGGCGGGGTCCTCTCAGGTGATGTAAACCAAAGCGATTTGATTTAAATTTGAGTACGTTTGCCCCAGAATCATCAGCTGCAAAAAAATGTATCCAATCCATAAAAGATGAAGTTCAGATGTTTGAAAATTTGATTTAAAAATCAAACAAACTGCTTCTGACAGAAGGATAAACATTTTTCTTCGTGTATTATTTTCCAAATGAGCATTTACTACAGCTAATCAACAATTTAAATGTGTTGTTTGAAAAACACTCTGAACGCTGTTTGTTGTCCCTCGAGGTTTTTCTAAAAATAAGACCAACATTCATTTTACTGATGCTGATCCAGAAAACACACACACACACACACACACACTCTTACCTCTGTGTTTTTGTGATTTATCGTGAGGCAGGAGAGTGAGATTGTTCGTACGGTTTTAGTTCTTGAAGTGATTTAGCGTTGGCTCAGAATCATCGCTGATGATTCACGGTCGTTGTAGAAACGTGAAGTTGACGATGAGAACGTTGAAGCCGGTGATGAAGTAATTGTTCAGATTCTGGTGTCGCCTTCACAGGAGGCGGCGGTGGAAATGAAAATGGCAGCTTATCGGGCCGCGATCGGCGCCGAGCCGAGGTGACACGTGCGTAAACTCGGCTTTTGTGGCCGGCGGTTTCATATTGTTCGACTCCTGATGCGTGTGATAGTGTATCGGGGGGGATATGAAGAGCAGAACTTATGAGGTGTCGTATTATTCACCCGGTGGTGCCGTTGTACCGTCTGACTGCCAGGTGGCCCGGAGATACCCCGGCGCCGCACAGACTCACGGCCGCCATATCTGTAGTAAGTACATTTGGCTCCGTACATTCTTCTGTTCATCTCCCAGGTAAAGGTCAGAGGTCAGGCTTAAATGGATTTGGTTTCCTAAGGCGCGGCCCTCCTCCTCCAGATTGTCTCTGAGCGGAGCTCTCAATCAGAAGCGCCGTGGCCGCTCACCGCGGTAATGACGGCCGAGGCTTCATTAAGAAACTCGTTAAGCTGCAGGGTCGTTAAGACCCTGATTGTTAATGACACTTCATTAAGGACAGAGAGAAACCCGGGGTCCCAGGGTGGTCCTGACCGGCTGTGTCTGACCAGTTGGCCTTTGATGATGACAGGGACACGGCAGCAGAGTCCAGGTCAAACCGTGAACAGTTTTCAGTCGACGTGTGCGACTCGTGCACCGGTGGACCTGAGTCTGAGTCTGAGCAGAGGAATATTTTATTAGTCTTGTTATTTCATCAAAATTGACAAATTAATGCAGCCACTATTTTATCTTTTTTTTATATCAGGATTGTCACAATTAACAAACTGATTAATTGGTGAATTAAAACAGATTCAACTTTTTATTTGCCAGTAAAATGTTTCCTTTTCACCAAAGCTCCACCTCCTCGACTCCTCGACTCCTCGACTGTTGATGGGGACGGTGGACTGATTAGTATCGGAGGACGAGTTCTAAACTGAAGGCCTGAAAACTGTCAACATGTCCAGAGATGATTCACTCTGAAAACAGTTCTGGACACTTTTCCACTTCTGCTGGTTTCTCTGGACATTTTTTCCACGTTAGTTCCGTCGTTCGCTCCAAAACGTCAGGTTAAATCTCACGTCAGCAGATGGTCATTAATCAGTCTGTCCACCGTCCAATCACTGACCGTCCACCTGTAAAACTGCCATCATCTCTGAGAGATCCCTGGGGGGGGGCAAAACTTATTTGGAGACATGAGAGAAAAAACCTCTGAGCTGCAGAGTCAGAACATCAGCTCAGTGTTTACTGAACATTACATTGTTATTCCTGGGTAACAGCCCTCAGTCGGAAGCATCAGCATCAGCAGCATCAGTAGCATCAGTAGCATCAGCAGTATCAGCAGCATCAGTAGCTCTATTTACTATTTACTCTGTCTCCAAATCCCTCATTTTCTCAGAGATCACACTCTAACTTGGCCAGAGTGCTTTCATATTTGAATTGTCATCCAAAGGTGGAGGGGGTGGGGGGGGTTGTTGGGGGTGAGGTGG